GGATGAGTAATTGACTTTGCGCAGACTTGAGAAAAGGCCTGGCAAGATGTCCAGAAGAAAGAAATGGATGAGTAATTGACTTTGCGCAGGCTTGAGAAAAGGTCTGGCAAGATGTCCAGAAGAAAGAAATGGATGAGTAATTGACTTTGCGCAGGCTTGATAAAAGGTCTGGCAAGATGTCCAGAAGAAAGAGATGGATGAGTAATTGACTTTGCATGGGCTTGAGAAAAGGTCTGGCAAGATGACCAGAAGAGAAATGGATGAGTAATTGACCTTGCGCGGGCTTGAGAGAAGGTCTGGCAAGACATTCAGAAGAGAAAGGTATGGGTAATTGGGTTTGCACAAGCTTAAGGAAAGGACAGGCAAGAGACCCAGAAAAGTCACATATGTGTAATGAATTTTTGCATGAGTTTGAGCGAGGCCTGGCGAGATGCCGGAAGAAAGATGCGTATGGAACGGACTAAGTAATGCGGATTTGAGAATGGGGGTGACATGCATGCGGAATTAGCAGGGCTAGAGAAAATTGGGCAAAATAACACGGGAAAAATACGTATGAATTGGCAAAGCGTGAGATTGAGGAAAGAATGACAGGGGGCATGGATTGCACGGGCTGAAGAGCCTAGTAGAAAAGGCATTAAGGGTGACGGAAGCCGGAAAAGGGGGCTGGTTGGCAAGGGATGGAAGGATGATCAACCAAAGGGCACCTGGGATGACAAGGCTCGGGGAGAAGCAGGGGCCGCAAGAAAAAGGGAGTTGAAAGAAGGATCGATGCTCTGAGGGTGATGAACAAGACAAAAGGGGTTTTTATGCTCTGAGGGTGATGAACGGGACAAAAGGGGTTTTGATGTTTTAAGAGTGATGAATGAGACGAAAGGGGTTTTGATGTTTTAAGAGTGATGAATGAGACATGAGAAGTCTGAAGAAAGTCCGAATCGTATGCACCCCTCCCCATCCCAAGGGTTGAAGCCTAGAAGAATCCGAGAAAGGAACAAGAAAAGACAAAACGGACCCTGACAAACTAACTACCCATAACATCTCCTCCTCCTCTCCTGTCTATCCCTCCAAGACCCACTAACAAGAGATTGGTGCGCGATGAGGACATCGCGAATGAGTGGGGGGAATGTATCGGGACTGGTGAGTCCCGAATAACTTTCCATCACTCGAGAGGCTGAATATGGGCAAACTGTGCACAACAGAGAAATCTGGAGTGAGGAGGCAGGAGAGAGAAAAGATAAAGGATTAGGCCGCAGGAGGGAGTGATGCCCTGGGGAGAGAACCGCAGGAGGAAAGAACTAGCACGGGGGTACGTAGAACATAGTATGAGGTCGGGAGGGCCGTTGGAATGCAATAAGACTAAGGCCAAAGGACCCTTGAAACAGCAAATGCAGCACGACAGCAATAATGGAATGAGGGAGTCAAGGGATGGGCGGCCCAAAGGCCGCGGGAAGATAGAGAACGAGGGGTCAATATGGGGGCCACCTACGGAAGCCTCGGGGTAGAGGCCCGCGACCAAAGGAACCGGCGCAAGGCGCAAGAAAAGACAAGGGAGAGGGGTCACCATGGGGCGGCAAAATGCCCAAGGGACGTGGAACACCTCGGGGGAAGGCACCTGGGGCCACGTGGGACTAAGGATAAATAATGGCACCTGGGGCAAAATGTGCCGGGGACTGCCGACGGGACTATGTGTCGGGGACCGCCGACGGGACTATGTGTCGGGGACCGCCGACGGCGCTAAGTGTTGGGGACCTCCGACGGGACTAAGTGTCGGGGACCACCGACGGGACAAGTGGCGGGGACATGTGAAAGTCCCAAGAAGAAACGACGACACCGCATGAGGGAAAATAATAAAGGCAAAATGCACCGTCAAGATCGGGATCTTGACAGCCAAGAATCTTAGCACCACTAGTGCAAGCACTAGCGGTAGCAAATGGGAAGGCCGAAAAGAAAAGAAAAAGTAAAGAAACTTGAAGTAGGAGGCATGGGAGCAATCCGGAAAATCTCGGATTAGCCTCCCCCAAGAAAATGGAGTCAAATGAGACCCCATGTGAAAAATAGCCCTCCGGGAGAAAATCGGAGTAGGAAAGGCTACTATGGGAGGAAAATAGAAGTAAAGGGAGGCTCTCATGGGCATGAGAAGGCCAGCATTGCATTCCGAGATATAGCAGACTGCACCATGGACATAGGAAGGGTCAAAACTAAGAGGAAGGGGCTAGAAAAGGGCCTTAACGGCCACTTAACACTTGGCATGCTAGAAAAAAGAGAGAAAAGAAAAGAAAATGAGAGAGAATGAAACAAAAAGAGTGAGAGGGAGTGAGTGAGTTGGCCGTCAGTAGGAACTGCCACAAGTAGGGACTGGCAGGTCCCTACTGTCCAAGAAAGGAGAAAAAAATAAAATAAAA